AGCTATCAGTCACTACGTGAATAAAGCAGAAGGATGGCTATGAAGGGGTAGGAAGGGATGCTTATTAGTTTCTGTACATCAGCTGCTGGTGAGTGCTGTCCTTTCTGTAAATGCCATTGGGCAACTCGACGTGCAAACTTCCTCAACGTCTTTTCCATCTTGTCACAGTGTAAGTGGCACATATGTGGAGAGGAAGAGTGAAAGTCCAAGCATTATGGTAGTACTGAGAGCACTGCTGCTCTCTCACACAACAGGGAGATGTAGATGTGATTTATTGCTGTTTCGTGTGAAGGAACACCGTATTCCTATGCAGAATTGCAATTAAAGCAGAAAGAATCTCGTCAGTCATCCGGCTGCGCTTCCACGGCTTGCACAACTTGCAAGTCAAACACTGAGATCTTCATTGAAGCAAAATTATTCTTTGTCACAGCGCAAATCGTATATGAACAAGGAGTTAATTGCACTGCTGCTTATTGTAATGAGGTGCTGCATCAGAGTGGAAGCTGTCACTGTCAGACTGGCGGCAGCAGGATTTCCCATTTCAGTGGAGTTTGTTTAATCTGTAGCACACGTTGTTGGCATTCAGGACAGGCAGGCCCGCCATCCATTCCACCATGGGTTTGTCACAGTGCATTTGTATTAATAGAAGTCTGAGCACTGGAAAACTTAGGAAAGTTCAAATTACAAATGAGGTTTTAAAAGTGGACGTCAAGAAAAAACACGATTGGAGCTGCTTAGCCAAGGGCTCCGGCGTTTTTCTCTGTAAATCTAATTCGGATTTTATATCTTTCTGAAAATTCTAAGAGCCTTGCTCAGCTACACTTACTTAAACCTGATGCAAGAAACAGCAGCTGAAATGTGTGCCCTCTGCTGTGCAGGAAGGCAGGCAGGGAGTCCGAGCCCTCCAGCCTTCATTTCCATCACCACGTGGTAATCTGCTCTTCGATTTGCTGTTAATGTCTGGAATAAACGATGCTCGTTCCTCTGTGATGTTGTTACTCTTTGTACTGAGCTGTAGTTAACATGACCACTCTTGAATACCTATGGCCTAAATGCATTCCCCTTCCTCATCCTTTCTTTCTAATCACGTTCTCTGCTCCTTTGCTTGTTTTGATTTCTTTAAGAGAAAGATGTTTGGGTTGGCTCGTGTGTTTTTTTTTTTTTGCTTGGGGGATCAAAACTGCAGAGGATTCCAGGTTCATATGCAGGGATGGCTGTGAGCTGCTCAAGTGTAACAGCCTCCTGAGAACTGACTGTTGGTCTCTTTCTGTCCCAGCCCCCTGCAGTCCGTAGCAAATGGCTGTTTCAGGAGCCTCGGTGGGATGAGAAACTTGTGTGCTTATAGAGGGGTCACAGAAAGTTGTGTGCAGCTGGAGGAAGTAAAGAAAGTGTGGCTTCGAGGTGTTGGAAGATATTCTGTGTGTTTAGATAACAGGACCTGAAATATTATTGACTCTTTAATACCATCTGTTTACTGGCTTTTCTCAAAGAACGTTCATAGTTCCTATGCAGACTTCATGTATATTGATTGGAACGAGTTACTAAGTTTTGTTTTGTGTATGATTTGAGTTATTAAATAGCTTAGATTATCTATGTAGGTAAGATTTTCATTCAAAGCATGCCTTTTGTCAGGTGACCATTTGACACGTGCTATTAGGCTTCTGTTTGCTTACTGCTAAGTGTAAGTGCAGAGCTGGGTGAAAGATTTTAGAAGATGCTCTGTTTACAATGTGTCAGAAGAGAAAAAGGTTCTTTGCCTTTATTGACACAAGGTTACGTTCTTTATGCCAGGATAACTGCAGTATTTGTCTTACTGAGCATCTGTAATAGAGACAAGGCTGTGCTGCAGCAGTGACAGGAAGGACGAGGCTGTGCCTTCAGCCTGACTTGGGCAGTGCTCAGTACATGGGAGCAGAATGGTGTGCTGTCTTCTGCAGGGAACAGTGGTCGGTGTGCTTGATCTGTCCTGCTGTCCAAGCGTGTTTTCATCTGACAAAGGAAATGGGGCAATGAGCAGAATTAGAGAATGATACCAAAAATTTGTTCATACAGCCTTTGTCTGAGACTTTATTTAGAATGACTTTATAGAATGTCTTTGTTCTTTGGGAGTATGATTTTTACATTAACAAGGACTGCTGGCATGATAAGGAATGGAGGATATTTTCACCTAGATTTTTGTTATACTTGCTAACAAAACACGAACCTATTGCTGGTTCACCCACGGAAAATGAATAAATATAGTGGTGTTAAGATTTTGAAAGTGTGAGAAAGAAGCGGGAGAGAGCAGGAAGGGACAGGAAAGAAATAACATGCACTTGTACATGGTTTGTAATATCTGTTTGCATTAAACTGTTGTTTTTCCCTGGTGTCTGTCTGTCACTCCCGTCGCTTTCCTGAAGCGAGCCGTTGCCTGCAGAAGCAAGGGATGTGGTTCATACTGACTTCAGGAGGAGAGAGGTTGGAATTACATGATCTTTGAGGTCCCTTCCAACCCAAACCATGCTAAGACTCGAGGATAGGGATCTGAGACCTCATGGAAGTTGAATTCATGTGGTTAGATGGAGGAGAGTGTATCACTGGACAACGCACACTAACTACAAGCTCTTTTGAGATGGGATTTCCAGATTGTTCCCAAGGAAATTTAGTGTCCAAATCTCTTTAAAATACAACTGGAGATCTCCTGGTCTTTTCCTAGAGACTTAGTTTAGGAAAAGCTCATTGTGGTCAATGACCTTGAATGTTCCTGGGCCCTCTCAGTGGCAGTCTTGATATGGAAGAACTTTGAAGGCACAGAAGCCACTCCTGCATCATTGCTCCCATGTGATGTGTGACAGCAGAACTTCGTGCTATGGGAGAATAGGGAGCAGTACAGTAACTGCTAACGACGTCATTTTCCACAAAACCAATTTTAGTTTGCCATTTAGAGACTTGCAAACAGCCTTAGATAGCTCTTGCAATTGAAGACGATCATTGGCAGTGCTATTTAGCAACGCACTTAAACATCTGCACCTTCATCAGTGTTCCCCGAGATGCTCAGGTCAGTGTTGGGAAGTTGCTGTGTTGGCCGTGGTGCAGCTGTGCACACAGCAGAGGGACACCCCTGGGGCTCAGTGCTGTGCAGGAGGTGCCCTGCTGGTGCTGGGAGCCCCTCCTGGAGCAATGGGTGCTTGGGCTGCAGCCCGTGCTCAGCTCAGCTTCCCACAACAGCTGGCAGAAGTTTGCGGAGCTGATGATACAAGCAAAGCCACTGAGATTATACTGCCAGGCCTAAATTTATTCATACCCTCTCCTACAAAGCCTTTTGTTATTACTATTATTGAGACCTCTTCAAATGGGATTTCAAGTATACAAGCATAATTTAATAGCTGAAACCAGGAATACCAGTTATGAGCTTGTGTTTGTGTTGCAGAGCAATGAGTTGACCTGCATTGCTGGGTTCCGCACGGCCCGTAAACGTGCAGTGTGGACTTTGTGGCTTTCCACATCCAAGAACCTTCTTTGGCTCTGGACGTGGTTGACAGTTCAGTTATTGCTCTTCTTTCTCTGCCCTCATCTTTTCTCATGTATTACTTCTTGCTTGGAATGAAGTCCAGCAGAAAAGGCTGCAGGGGGAAAAGCTGCTGTTAAAAAATCTGCTGGGAATTTTTCCTCCAGGTGTGTGGTTGTGAGCAGAAATCTGGCACTGCAGCTGCCAAAAATGCAGACCTTGTTTAGACTTCTGAAAATCAGTAATACTACACTGAAGGTGGTAGGATTTAAATCCCATTCTCACCATTCCCTCAACTGAAATGAGGATTATGGTTTCAAATGATCTTTGTAACAATCCATGTTACAGAATTCCACAGAAAATGTCTCAGAGCTGTCCAGGATTTCAGACAAGTTAACACTTCCTGAAGCTCTCCATTAGGATCTGCTTTACCTTTTCCAGAGCTGAGGCAACACTGAAGTTAATGAGATGTAAGCTTGTAACTCATTCAGTTCCTTATGAAAATTCTACTTAATGATCAGCTGTCTTTTCCATTGTGTTTATTTCTTGTATTTCAAAACCTGTCATGATTCAGCATTCCTTTGGTCTACGTGACATAAATATACAGTAGTACAAATTTTTATGGTAAGTCACCTTTACTGGAAAGAAAAATAAGTCTGTCGTTGCTTTTATACCAGTAGAAAAAGTAACAGAGGAGATCTCATAATGCGTTCAAAAATAAGGAAAAAGATGTGAAACAGAGACATGGGAAGACATAGAGCTTTTTTGCTAAGGGGAAAGTTGTCTTCACTTGCAGTAATGTGGAGGCAGAGGGGCAGCACTGAAATGTTGCATGATACAAGTTGAGCCACAAGCTGCATCCTGCTGCCAGCCAGCTGCTGCTGTGGTCCTCAAAGGAAAACAGCTGAAAGGAAAACAGGCTAAGAAGGAGGTGAAGGGAGAAGCGTTGGTAGAGAAAGCAGGGATCTGCAAAGTTAAACACAAATTCCAAGTCCTTTGGTGACTCTCATGAGATCCTGAGATTCGCAGGGCTCTGCAGGGTTTGCCCGAGTGGCAGAGGGCAGGAGGAGGCAGGCAGGTGCTGCAGGGATGCGCTGGGGATGGGTGGATGGAAGTTCCTCAGTGTAAATATCTCTGTAGTTGGGAACAGAGGTAAAAGATGTTATCTGGTAGCAGGACTCTCCCATGGGATGCAACAGTGGTATTTAAACTCGGGCTGCATGTAACATTCGCTTTCTCCCATGGAGGCACTCAGGGTTGTCATGAAGAATTGCAGGCCTAGCACGTCCACCTTGCTTTGGGTGCTGGGATGTCAGTGCAGCGTGCTGAGAAGGCAGATCCTGCAGCAGGAATACACGGCTGTGACACCTGTGTGCTGTAATCCAAGTTCATGTCCAGCGTGAGCGTGGGTCCACGGGTGAGAAGATCCCTTCTTGATGCAAGAGGATGTTACAGTTTGGGTGAGGAAGCGCAAAGTGGATGTAGCTAGAGTACTGAATACCACACTTGAATAAGCGACTTGCTCTTCAGGGCACAAGGATAGTTTATTATTGGGAAATCAGGTGGAAGTGACACTGCAGACGTTTAGTTGGGTATGAGATATCTACTCTTACACAGCATTTCTGAACAGCTAGCCAAGTCAAAGACAACTGTGGTTCTTCCCATGCTGCTTTATAGCAGCCAGGCTCCATCTCTGGTTCTGAGCAAACCGGGGGTGTTTTTGTCTCCAGTGAATGGTAGATGCAAATATATTTTGAAGGCAATTAGGCAAAGAGAATATTTTTATTTTTTGCTTACAACAAACTGCAAGCACAGAATTGCTAGGACAAGGCTGAAGGTTATTTGCTAAGATTATATGCCACATGTCATTAATCTCTTACCCACTGTTGGTTTTTTTTTTTTTCCTTTTATTAGCAGAATTTTAAATTTCCAGGAGAACTGTACAGAGCTCTAAGGGCACAGATTACAAGGCTGAAAATACATGTCACTGGTGGCTGTATGTGCAGAATGTGCGGCACTCACAGGGTGTTGTGGCTGTTGAGCTGTTGTCAGGGAACCTGCATCTCTCTGCCAGAGCCCCAGCAACATCAGCTGCCCTGAAATACTACAGATCAGCACATCCAGAAGTGTATGACTGTCATAAGGCCATTTTCTCTCGCTGTTCTTTAACAGCATTGCACTATAATGATAACAAATGACATAAAACTGCCAAATAGGTCTGCAGGGAAGAGCAGGCACATAATTTCCCCAGCGGCAAGGAACACATCAGACATTGCTTCCCTTCCCATACACCGACCCCGTCGGACAGGAGGCTCAGGTGAAAGCTTGTTGTGACCGAGTGTTGGTGGCACAGCTGCACGAGTGCTGCAGGGAGGTGGGGGAGGCAGGGGCCTGCTCTGCAGCATCTGATACCTGCTCAATAATTGCTTTCTCAAGACAATTTTATGATGTTGTGCAAGTTGGAAGCTGTAATTTTGCTGTCAACCTTGTCCTCCCTATGTCCTTTTCTCTGGAAAAAGTACAGTGAATCTTCAGTGCAAAAGATATCTCAGTTTTAATTCGTTATCATTGTTATAATGGTAGAGGCAGTTTTAAGGTTAGGATAGCATATACACAAGGTGGTAATTATTGCTCTTAAGCTTTTCTGGAGGAGAAGGCAAGGGGAGATTTTGCATGAACATAAAATATGGGAGAAGGTGACACGTGAATGCTGGCAGCATGCTGCTTCTCCATGATCAAAGGCCACTTGCCTAATCCCAACATGTAACTATCATGTGATTAAAAACGTGAGATCTCATGAACGTATAAAAAATTGTGTGTAGCAGAAGTACTTGATTTAAATGCATAATTAATAGCTTCACTCAGCTTTGCATCGAAATGCAAATTGACAAGGCATGTATCTGAGAGACTGAGGGTTCTGCACCAAAACACACCTATAAAACTACACTGACTTTTTCACTTGCAGACCGTTGGCTGAAGGGAAGAGAGAAGTTGGAAGCTGTCTGTCTGCAATTTTGGGTGAGTGCTGATTTTTTTTTTTTCTCGCTTAGATAAATCAGTGAGTTAACAAAAAAAAAAAACAACCAAACAAACAAAAACAAAACTTCAACCCCAAAATCCAGGCACATCCATTGTTGTAACAATTAACTTTTACTCACTAAGAACATTTGGCATGTAAAAACATTTAAAAGGTTGCACATCGACAAGTGGTCGGAACGCGTAGAAAACTCTGTGCTTGCTCGTTAGGGATCCGGTGTAACTGCAACCACAGGCTCCACCAGAACCCCCCTGCTGTGCCTGTGTGCAGTCCTGCTGAGAACTCCAGTGGATTCAGAAAAGACGACGTACAAAGCTTCTGTAGGTTCAACTGTCCCTTATGTGTTGATGTACCCAGTGCGCACACACACCAGTGCTTGCTGAGGCCTTCCACTTGAACAGACCAATCCAGTGAAATGCTCAGAGTCCTTGTTGACTTTAAGCCTGGTGAAACTACAGTTCCATATCGGACCCGAACTTGTTACTATTAGGTTGGGTTTAGCTGTCTCACTTTCTGCTGTTGAGGGCACATCAATCCCATGCACATTTTTTTCAAACGTAATGCCAGGATTTGGTTGCTTTCTATCAGTTTGGGAGCACTGAGTTGGTTTTTGTCCTAACTGATCATAATGACAGCTAAATGTCAGCTTCATTTCCGTCTCAGCTCCGAACATAAACAGAAAAGTATACAAAAAGGAAAAGTTTTTATACGCTGAATTATTTTTTTTGCTGTGTACCTTATGCCAAACAGTTTTGATTCTGCATGTGACTTACAGTCTAAATGCCAGACCTAGTTTTCCAATTATTTTCAGTATTTTGCATCCAGTGCAGAGAAAACACTATTAAAATAAATGCATTAAAAAAACAACAACAAAAAAACAACCCTGCAACTTAGCTGAAATGTAATCCCATCGAGAAAAAAACACAATATTTTTCTATGACATTTTGGGTATATTTTATGTCAAAACATGATCACCAGTCCAACTAGTGACATCTAAAACCAATACATTATTGTGACTTCTAAAATAAAAAAAAATCAGAACACAACTAAAGTTATTATAGCTCTGCCTTTGTTAAACACCAGGGGCGGTGGCTTAAGCACAACAAAACTCCAGTGTTTTTCAAAGGTGTCTACTGAAGAGAATAAAAAGAACAATTAACATTTAGTCTGTTACACTAAAAACCTGGGTGTACATATTTCTACTGCCTGTTAGCTTTACCTAAGCCTTTTCAACTACTACGAAAAGACAAAAGATAACTCATTGTCCAAAGTCAAAAACATTCAAATCAGTTGATACAACATTACAGTACAGTCAACTAACATCCTTCAGGGTCTCCTTTTTCTCAGTTTGAGTCCTCAGACCAGCATTACAAAACTAGTTCAATGCAGTTTCAAAACTGTCTGTTAGCTTTGCAAGATACTGTACTCTACTGATGGCTTCAGAAGAATGGGGTTGTGCTACTTTTGAATCACAGGTAACCCCAGCCTCTCATTAATTTTATTCAGCACTGCAGTTAGAACAGCATTAAGTTTAGCACAATAACTAAAAAAAGAAAAAAAAGAAAAAAGAAAAAAAGAAAAGAAATCTGGAAGCTAGGTGAAGCTGCCATTTGTGTCAAACAATTGCGATACGCTATACTAAAAAATTCTGAAATATCCACCTGTCCTCACCACTCTGCCACAAACTAGCAAAGTCAAAAATACAAAAGTCTTCAACTTCTCATTTTTGCAGAATAAAGCAAAAAAGTCTTTGTGCTCCTTACTACCAGAAGCAAAATATCCTCTGAGTTACCACATGTAATAGCTTCTGGATGTGTCGACTTGGGTCGGCTTGGTCTCTGCAGAACCATCCTTGTCCTTATCGCTGTCGCCTTCCCAGAGATTAATAAGTGGAGGATAGAGCTCATTCAGGGGGATTGAGGAGGTCTTTTGCATATATTTTTTCAACGAATGGTGGTAGTTTTTTCTCTTAAATCTTTTTGCAATGTAAACAGAAATGGAGGCAAGGCTAATTACAGCAAACATGGATCCCATGACCGCTGCCAGAGCAGTGCTGGTTTCCTGGTCTGAAATATCAAGCGCAAAAGCTGCATTTTTTGTTGTAACGTTAACACAGGACTTTTGTGTTTGTTGGTGGATGTTGGACACAGTGAGACACACTTCATAATCTGTAGAAGGTTGTAAATGCGTGAGGTTGTATTCATGTACATCAACTGGGACCCGAGCGGTGTATGTAATGTGAGGGTTGTCAATCTTCATAGTAGCCGACGACCATTTTAAATTGGAAGTCATGACATTGGAGTTAACTTTCCAAGAAACTAAAATGGAATGCGATTCAGCTTGCTTCACAAAGATTTTCAGGACCTGGGTGCCATCCAGAAGCGTTCCGTTCACCCGGATTGTGGCGACCCTGGTGTCAGCTCCCTCTACGTTCTGAGCAACGCAGGTGTACCTCCCAGAGTCTTCAATCTGGATGTTGGAGATTTCCAAAGTGCCTTCGCTGCTCAGCTTGTATTTGTCAGAGAGGCTTTCAACAGTGACTTTATTTCCGAGGGGAGTGACCCAGTAAATTTCTGGCTCGGGTTCTGCCATGGCCCTACAGTCTAAGAACACCGTCATGCCGATGTCCAAGTTCAAGTGATTTGGAAAGGTCTCGTGAGAGATCATTGGAAGACACTGCTCGTTTGAATCCTGCGTTAGCACTTCTTTCACCTGTTGTCCTCTGTACTCTGGAGGCATGGCGCAGAACATGGAGAGAGGTTCCATGAAGCGGATGTTGGTTTTGTTTGAGTTGATCCAGTGAATGACGCAGTCGCACCGCAGGGGGTTGCTGTGGATGCTGATCTCACGCAGGTTTGGGAGGGACTCCACTGTTTTTTGGTAGACGGCGTTCAAGGCGTTGTTGTTCAGCATCAAACTCTCCAGGGCAGGGACGTTACGAAAGGCCAAACGATGGATGTAAGACAGCTTTGGGTTGTTGGTGGCTTCCAGCTTTGTAAGTTCAGGCAGGTTGTCCAGCGCGTACCTATCCATAGAAACAAGCTCTCCCATGTTATTGATTCCAAGCTCTTTCAATCTAAGCATGTTTCTAAAATCACCTTCTTGAATTTTATGAATTGGATTTTTGTTGAGATCCAGGAATTTTAGATTTGGAACTTTTTCAAGTGCAAGCTGAGGAACTTTTACCAACTTGTTGTCATAGAAGGAAAGACTTTCAAGACTGTCCAAGCCTACCAAGGCATTGCCAGGGATGTCTGTGAGATACATACCTGCCAAAACAAGACTCCTTAAATTGGAGAGAGGTTTGAAGTTCATATCTAGTATTCCAATCACCGGATTTTCTCCAATCATAAGAATCTCTAAGTTAGGAGTAGAATCAAACCAACGGCTGTCAATAACCTTCAATTTGTTGGAGTTGAGATGTAATCTTAAAAGATTCTTCAGGCCAGAGAATGCATTTGCAGAAATGCTGCTGATCTGATTATGATTTATATATAACTCCTGAAGATTGCAAAGGTCTTGCAAGCAGTAGTCAGTCATCTCCATGATCTGGTTTTCCTCCAGGTGCAAAGTAGTCAGCTGAGTAAGATTTGAGAGCCCCACGTCTTTGATGCTTGTGAAGTTATTTTGTGAAAAATCTAACTCTGTTAAATTAAATAGCAGTTGGAGTTCATCTGTGGTCTTTGCAATATTGTTGCTTTGTAACAGAAGGACTTGAGTGTCACTGGAAAGATTGCTGGGGATTTTTGTTAAACGAAGGTCATTGCAGTCAACTGTTGTGGCTTCCCTGTATGTTGACTGTGGTGTAAACCATGGCCTGATTTCGCACACACAGAGCTGGGGACATTCATTACTCTGTACGGAAGACTCAGTTAATGAATTCGTTAGCAATTCTAGCACCACCTGGCAAACAGTTAAAACTAATCTAATCTTAGCCATGCTGGTCAGCTAGTGAATTCAGCTCCTCAGCCCCTTAAAATAACAACAGACCGAGAGCGTAATTTGTTGTCAGGTAGGAAATGTAAAGCTTAAAATTTGGTGTGAAAGGCTTGGACATCCAGAAAATGAAAGTTGATTTTGTAAGAGAAGACAATAAATGGTCTGAAGGCTCTCAGCTGCTCCTCTGTGTTCCAGGATCTTCTACAAATCCGTGCCTGAAGATAAAACAGATAAGGAAACGTTATGCTCATGTGTCATACACGGTTTGTATATTCTTTCTTTGTCTTTAAGGAAAAGGACCTGTGATGACAGCTGCAAGCATTTTAATATTCAGATCTCTTAAGAAAATTCATACTTGGTACAGTCAGATATGTATAGTTTGGAACTCTCCTCTATTTCAGATTTGCATGAGATCGTTCTTGAGTGACTACAAAAATATATGCCATCATCTGAGAAGAAAACTTCCAGATCTCTTATTTTTATTATTCAAATTGGTCTGAATGGCTTAGGAAGTGTTGAAGGCCCAGGACGTGCTTTTGAGTACAGGCAGATACCAAATGGGCGCTCAGAACACGATCCCAAGTAGAATTCAGGCTGAGAGTGTTACTCCAATGACTTGTGCTTTGGCTGTAGAGAATTATGGCTTAGAAACATGTGGCTTTCTAAGTTCCAAACAAAATGCATAAGAACTTTGACAAAATTCATCCAAGTTAATCAAATCAGTTCCAGATAATAGTTTAGACTTGATCCAGCTAAGCACCAAACAATAACACCAAATATGATTAGATGCCTGCGCTGTCCTCCTTTCAGCTGTTTGTACTGCGCTGTGTGTCACCTGCAATGTTCACCCTGATTCCCATCACTGAATGAACTGCAGGATTCACGTATGTTTGGACACTGAAGTTCTCATAAGGCACGTGTTGAAAGGAAACCTGATGGTGTCCATCAGGCCTCTCAGAACATGAGGTGATGCTGCACCTCGTGCGATAGTGATTGCAGTGAATTATGTTAACGACAAAAAAAGATGAATCGTCTGAAAACCCTCGAGTTGTGCTCGAAAAAGACTAAGAAACACCGATGAACTGTAGTAGAAGAAATTAGGAAGAAGCTGCTTTATTTTGTTTTTCATTAGAATTTAGTGAAGCCTCAACCAAAGCCCACAAAAATAATTCTATATAAAATAGAAGAACTAAATACAACTTTAAAAATCGGCATCTAGACAGTGGTGACAGGAGTGACATCTATAATCCATAATTATTGCAAAATCTGGTCAGCATATTAAGTAACTTATTTCAGATCATGATAAGCAGTACAAACCAAAGGGCATTTTTATTTTGGTGCGCTGTTATTTGTTCTGTGGTTGTATTTTGGATGAAGAGAACCAGGAGCATTGGCCAGAAAGCATCTGACCCTGCTGAGTTAGATTTTCTGTCTGGTAGCAAAGATTTCAATTAGAGATGAGAAGACTGTGCTGGAGGGGGAAAAACCAAATGCAGAACAAACATTCCTTCTCAAACAACTCTGAACTGATGAAAGAACTGAAGACTGACTGCATTAGAAAAAAATCCTAATGATGATACTGTAGTTGTAAGAATATACACTGCTATAGAGAGATGAGGAAGGTGACATAAACTGAGTTATTCTGGCTTTTATAGAAGCTTCTCTCAGTAACAGTCCATTTGTAGCTGATGCAAAATAAGAGTTCTAGCAATACTGATGATGTCAGAAGCTTAATTAATTCCAGATTTTCCAGCATTTGTAGTATTTGTCATGTAATAATTCATGATCTAATTCAGTAACGATCTCAGAGTTTTACTTAAGAAGCCTCGAGCTGCAGTTCTGTGTGGTCTGTTCCCTTGCAATATGGACATTTCTCTTCCAGCTTTGCGGTACTACTGGCTCGGAGTGAGGCAAAAAAGCAGCAGTACCAGGCAGCAACGTGCACCAAACCACATAGCTCTGCAAGAGGTAAATCTGCTCCACTCCTTCACAGCCTGTCCTGCAACTTGTTTCTAGGTGATGTACAGAAGGATGTCCGTGCCTCATAAAGCTGCAGTCCCTACTGGTATGTTAGCACTGATTTAACTCTGATGTAGTTATACGAATCATGTAATGTCTTAAAAATGAAACTGCCTGAAAAAGACTTCAAAGCTTCTATTAAAATGTGGGGGAGCACGTCCAGAGTACTAAAAAAAAAATAATAATTCAATCATTTCTTTGTCAAATATTTATAGCATCATACACATTGCATTTGTTGTTCCTCCTTGCTAAGAAGGTATTTCTGGACTAATTGAATCGGCTTCTGGCGTTTTTGATCACTGTAGGAATATGATTTTGCAAGTTAACAGTGGCACTTCCTCTTCTCTGCTTATTTGCTACTGCAAATGGATTTAGTTCTCTTCAACTGGAAAATGTTCTTTGGAAATGACCTCACGTTATTGTCTCCAATCTCCCCCAGCCCAGGGAAGCATGGATGAAGCCAGTAGTGAAAATCCATTGTAACGTAGGTTCTGATCAGCTCCACATGCCTAGCCAGTCTAATGCTGTGCTTTGTGAATGACATCCAGAGGCCACAGCACAGGGAAAGGCCAAGTGATGGACTTTTGCATTACCTGCTGCCTACGCTGTAAGACCACATCCATCGCTGTAGTAAAAACTAAAAATGTGGCAGTTATCAGTGGAAAAAGTGTGCTATGGTATTCACTAAACAGTAATGGCTGTTTGTTCTGTGCTTTATGTGTGCTGTGGTGGATTTGTTGGTGGGTCAGCTGAAGGACACCCAAGCTTTGAGAACGAACTCTCTGACACTACATGGTCCAAAATGACCATTGATGAAAAACTGCAGAGCCAAGCAGATAAACCAGGCGTGGGTCCTAGGAGAGAGGGAATCATCCCAACTCCCTGTGAACTCAGTGAGGCGGAATGAAGAAGCATCTGAGTGTCGTTATTTGAGTCTCGTTATTTGCTGATACCTCAGTGTTTTTGCCCAGTGAGAATCCTTCTGTGCCGAGTCACTGTGTTTGGGGTTGGTTTGTTCGAGACAAACACAGTTCCTCCATAGTAGCTGAATGCAGTAGGAGCCAGTGAGAATTCAGGGGGCTGGTTCAAAAGATTTCAGCTTTGGAAAGCCATGCAGTTAACGCTTGCTCCAGAAAAGGGGCACATAAAATCACTTTTTTCTGAAACTGATGCTTAATGGGGGCCATGTGATTGGTGGAGGTTGTTTTGAGTGCATGTAAGAAACTATATATGTTTAAAAAAATATCGTGTGGGGAAACTGCCAGGCCTGGGAAGCGCAGTGCAAGCTGTCCTGGTGAGGCTCAGCGTTGACTCCGTGCTTTAGACATCAGCTTTTAGCATTCTCTGCCTTCCCTTCTGTTTATGAAATTCATTTTTTAGTGCACCAAACCTCTACAATAGTCATTACAGGTGTGAACTTGCTATCAACAGAAATAATGCTTAATTTTATGGGAGATGCATAGAGGGAATTATTTCGCTAGGGGCTAAATAAATACATTTTCCATAGCACCTCTCAATTCCCAGAGCATTAAGAAACCACATTTCTGTCAGTAAGCAAATCCACAGCTGATGTCTGGGCTATCAGCATGCTCATATTTCTTGCAGACTGAAAATGTGATCATCATTCTTGCTTCTTCCCTCCCAGTAATGCAAGGAGGAAGATCCCTTCCTGTCTGGGTTGTGAAACCTGCTTAACTTAGAGTATTTGTTTTACTAAGGGAAGATAATGGTAGGGAAGAAGGGGGTGGCATCTGGTTCTGGGGCAGGAGGGTCTTCATTGCAGTGCTCCTGCCCCAGAGGGGAGCTGTTGATTGTTCGGTTGTTGGGGTGATCCAAGCAAAAAGCAGGGTTAAATTCCCATCGCATTAACAGGAGAACGTTAAGGAACAATCTCGAAAAAAACCCAACCCTATTCATTGCAGTGTTTGTAGTTAATTTGCAAACTACAAAAAATAGATGCTGAATGTGTTTTCTTGGCCCAAGGAAGATGAAGCATTGTCGTTCAGTGGCAGTTGTATTAATGGTCACTGTTAACAACTGCTGAAAAAAGAAACAAGATAGTTTGCACAGGGCTATTTGGGTACCTGTTTAGAAACAGCTATTCTTCTATTGCAGTAGAATAGAAAGCATCACCCTCTCCACAGTTAAGTAGTTCATTCTTGAAAAATTCCCTTTCTATTGCAAGTAGCATCAGCGCAGATTTTGGTTGGCAGCCATATATGCTAAACACGCCTAGGTAGGAGTCTGAGGGATCAGATACATAGAGAAAATTACCTCAGGCTAAGACAAGCAATTTATTTTGTGCTCGCTGTGAGCCAGAAGCACACGCTGATCTGCAGCACCTCCCCATTTCTCCACAGTGCCATTTTCATCCAGCAAGCCTAAGCAGTGCAGCTAGTCTTTTGGAAAATTGTCTGTTGTGCTAATGTTCTGTTAATGACTTGTGCAGCTTGCTTATTTCCCATCATCATCGTTTGTGAAACGACTCTTGTCGGAGCTCCCTGCAGCACCAGGGAAGCTCAGCGGCGGCACTGCGGGCTGTGGGGAAGGCCTGGGCCACGCAGCCAAGTTGTGGCAGCACGTGGGCACATCTGTCACACAGTGACGCCCATCTGAATGATCTGGAGAGCCTTCAGCTGAAGCACGGGGATTGAGAGAGCTGAGCGCGGGGCAGAGCGCATACAAAGCATGGCTGAGTCAGGGGCAGGAGGCACCCATGGGGGCAGGGATGCTGCAATAGGCAGGTGCACCTCGAGCCCTCTGTGAGAACAGCTGGCCCTAGCCGGGTTGGGACATGGGCAATTCTAAGAAAAGGATGTTGAGCTGAAGTGTTTGCAGTTCCATATCCGTGCATTTTGTGTGGAGGAGAGCTGACTTATTGGCGCTGTGCTGCACTTCAACAATAACCTTCAATGGCGCGACGCGAGGGAGACATTCGTGTACGGCCACAGGCACGTGTGTGTGCAGCCAGTAACCTGCTAGGGAAGTAAGCACAGCACAAAACCTTCTCTGAAGTGTTGTGTTCCCATCATCGGGTCTGACTGCAGGCGAGAGTTGCAGTGACCTCGTGTACCTCCTAGAGAAAGCCTGCTCCTGGACCCAGAGGTGCAACTGACCTACATGGAGAGCTCGTTTCCCCCAAGAGTCACATTTAGAAGGGCAATCCTGTTCAGAGAAATGCTGAGGAAATATAAAAGAAGCCTTTTCTATGGAAGTTTTTAATGTTGTGGATGTCATCAGGAAATAAGATACTGACGGGACTGCATGGGTAAAATACAGAAAGGTCAAGCTCGAATGGTGCAAGCCACTTGAAAAAGCACACCAGAATCTGAAAACGGGAGTTTGTTGTTAAAAGCAAAGACAGAAGAAAGGACTTACAGAATATGTAACAAAGGAACAAAAGCTTCAAAACGTGTTCTCAGGGATTTGTAATATTTACAGTTTTGGGTTTGTTTTTCTTTTCCATACAAGTAATGCGTTGCTTTTTAAACTGTATCTTTTTGTCTGCTCATACGTTCCAAAATAAAGTCAGTGTTTAATTTTAGGGAAAGCTCCAGGGAAGCGGGGAAAGCTGTGATGAGAAGGCGATTTGCTGTGTTTCGGAAGACAACCTCAGCATGTTTTATCTGTACTCTTTTGAAAAATACTAGCCTTATCTCCATGGAAGAAATGCAAAGAGCATCCTCTTCATAATTCTTGCACTTCACAAACAGCATATTACATCTGACGTTTAAAAATTGCAATTTATTGTGGGCCTATTCGTAAAGCTTGTGTCTGATGCAGTGTTTTTCACTAAAATATTGAAGTAATTTTGTGGGAGAGAGGAAAATCCTTTCCATTTATTTACTGATCTTTAGTACAGAGGGATATCTAGCACAGTACAGTTACTGTACATGGATGGCCCATCAAATCAACCTTCCAATTGCAACCCTGCTTGTCATCTGTTTGAAAATCTCTTGCAAATTACCATTAACAAGTCATATTAAAAACATCAGGAATAATAAGTGCTTTCAAACAGTGGGCTGTCAAATTACATAGTCTGTTTGTTCTTTAGGAAGGAAGAATTCATAAAAGCATTTAACAGCCTTGAAAACCTGAAAGGCAAGACATGTTTGTTCAGTAGTAATATTCTTACACGAGAAACTCAACTTATTTTCTTAGCATGTTTATTTTCATAAGAAAATGTTTGTTTTCATGAGAAAATAGATTAATCTTGAGAAAATATGGGCTGTTCTTTTGTGCTCATGACTGTAGTTTTCATCTCCTCCTACACAGGGTCTGGTCCTGTTCAGTACGAAGGCAGGAGTAAAGCTTTTATTTCATTCACTGGAGAAGAATCATGCGCCTTATTATTATCCTCATTCTATGTAATTACCAGATAAAATTATTTGAATAAATTGGCTTTCATGACAACCAACCAAATCATTTCTATCCTGGCTTAAAAGCCAATTTCATCTCCTTGTAGCTCTTCTGCACTGGAAGGCAGGACAAGTTCGTGGAGCAGGCAGAGCAGCGTGCCCCGGCCTCACCTGCGCCCTGCGGAGCTGTGGGGCAGCTGCACAAAGATGGCACGTCCCCCTGCTAACCTGCATGTTTTGCTTTCCAGCACATCCAAGGTACCGTGGTTGATGAAGGACGAAACAGGGAAATTCATTCATTTCCAGCTGTACGGCTGTCGTGCTTTCATATCCTCCTGTATATTTTAAATGCAAGGGAGAATTTAAACCTAATTGGTTTTAGCTCGTAGAGCATCAAAAATTTACAGAGCATAGCTAATTTTGGGAGACCTGTTCCAACTATTTTTTGCATTTAGTGTATTTGCTGGCTAAAGCATGAAGGGAGACAAATATTACAGAGATATTACTGCATCTTCTAATTAAAGAACAGGCAGAATTCAATCTCGGCACATTCCAAATCTCTGTACCAAATGAAAGGATCTGAAGAACTTGTTACTCATGGGGGTATGTGCTTCCTGGATTTCATACTAGAATGACTCTGGCAATAGGAAGCAGAGACGGGAGGGTCCAAATCAAATTAAGAAAAATAATAAAATATTAATGGGAATTTTAAACAAGGAAATAGCTCTAGAAGAAGAATGGGGGGATTTAAAAGCCTAGGCTAGTTTTTGGATTAAATTTCTGGTTTGTTTTCTTTTTTGCCTGCTCCAAGAAGCAAGACAGCTTTGCTAGTGGATGTTTTACAAATGCTAAAATGTGGAACGCATAAGAAATATTTTCAATAAGGAGAAATATGGATGCCAGAACTGCACAGAACTTTCAGAGTGCAAGAGAAAAACCGCCGTCGTCTCTCCTTGCAGGCTGGCTTTCTGGCAATGCGATTCCTTTGCTTCCTACGCAGTTCTAGATCAAACTCCAGTTAGTGAGTCACCGAGGATCCCCGTGGTCGGGAAAGACCCCAGCACGTAAGTAGTTGTTACTACAGTAAAAGATGCCAGACAATCTTTTCCTGAAATGGTAGCCAGTAGATACTCACTCATTTCAGCTTTTATTTACGTGCGTGGTATGAAAAGGACAGACAGTGGTGCTGGCTTTAGGACGTTAGCAACACTTAATAATAACACATATGTAGGTGTGCACACGTGTACATGGAATGAGCAAATCACATACAGCTCCACCTTTATCTTCAGGCAAGAAGAAAAGAGGTGCTTTTTTCCTGTTGATCCCTGTTGCTACTTCAGCAATTGTTTCCTGCAGCTGTACTACGTCTGTAGTTTTCAATTATGGGTGATTAAGTATGGATCTATACTTTATTATTAGCTACATCTATATCTACTCCAATTATATGTGTAGTGTTCGTACACAGACACCAGCTGCTAGAATAAAATAGACCTTTATTGATTTTTTTCCTGGAGTTATACGCTTGCAAGATCAAATTTTCTATTTCTGAGCTATATTTACATGTAAATGTTAATAAAACCATATATCCACTCGCCTGATAGAGACCCCTTATTGTTCACTCAAGACTAGCAATAACAACATAAATAGATTTATCATGGGAGGCACTGAGAGATCTAATAGAAAGGCTGTTAGCACGGAGGCAAAGATCTGGAACTCAGCCAAGCTGAGATGGGATAGAAGTAATTCCATTAAATGGCCATAGATTTGTTTTTGGTAGTCGTCTGAAGAAAGGTTTTGTTCCCATCCATGAAAAAAGTTATTTTCTCCCTAGTCACATGGCTGTATTAAATGACCCTCCCCTGCCACTCCTGGCAAGTTTTCTGGGCTTTTGAATGGGTTTCTACACCAAGTTCCCATTTGTCTGAGAGCCTTCTGCTTTTGTTCACCACCGATAACATCAGCCACCCTGTAATGAGAAAATAAACATTGTATGGAGTGCGTGTGTTCTATCATTTCACTCCAAAACTGATATAGCAAGTTTTGCTTGAAATGCAGAGCAGGTCATCTACCACATCACCTGAGAACGGAGAGAACGTTAATAGCCTATATTCACCCATTTCTTTTTGTCTGAAGCGCCACTAAATCTGAGTCTTGGTTCTATATGGAAGCTTTGTTCTATATTTTCCAATCTTGCTTTGAGAAGTTCAGGACGTGGAGATATATATATATATGTATGTATGTATGTAGAAAAAATAGGTATATGTTTAAGAATAGACCTACGAATCGTTCCGTTAGCTCCAGTTCTTAGTCTTGTCATTGCCAACTCAGCAGCTCCTCCACAGATGGGTTTATTTCAGAGTGCTTGCAGAAGTGCTGCATGTGGCAGAAAACAAGTTATTTTAAGTTAACAAAACTCTACAGATAAATCTTTACCTAATTAAGGTGATTTATCCAGGCACGGTCACGTTTAATCTGTCTGTACTCGACTTGTCTCACTCACCAGCTAACTTAGAACATCCATCTGCTTTTGCTCAGTGCCTGGTGCTGCTGTGAGCTGCCCATACAGACCTGCTCTTGCAGCTTAGCTCTTGTTCACCTATGGGTCAAATAAGTTAGCTCTGTAACACATCTACTTTTCAGTGCAGTGCCTATTGTGAGCAGTGGATCTCTGTCAATATTTACTGTTTCTGTTAAGAGCGACAGATCGTTTGTAATTTAAGAATTGAGCAAGGCCAATCAGTAGCTCATCTGCATCCCAGTAATTATATGCAGTACATTAGCAAGGTATGCATTTATTGGGCATTTTTAGACTCGCTTAATAGAATAAATGAAATGATGTATAAGAAAAACAGGATGTGGAGGATTAATTGTAACAAGGACAAACATTTCCAAATCACAAAAAAAGGGTAATTCAAGCTGTGACTGATACTTTACATATATGTATGTGTGCATATGCATATGTAAAAGTCAGCCTACCAAATTTTGGACTAACTTAGGAACTGTCCCAAATAACATCTGTGTGTTTATTAGTAGTTACTTAATCTTTGATTCTTGATGTTGTGGGTCAACCCATGAAAATCACAGAGCCCTAGAGCACATGGTCCAGGCAGACAGGAGAACCCTGCTGCCATCACAGTGGATGTGCTCAAAGCACAAGTATGCTGTGCCCCTCTAGTTGTGGTGCTCTGGTCGTGAGTCACACAGAGCTTAATATGAATCCAATTGTAAGTGAACTGCAAAGACTGCATTTTGCTTGATGACCATCAAGTTACGTTGACTGCACAGAAGTAGTTGTGAATGAAATACAAAAAGAATCAATGATGAGAATACGATGAACCAGGTTCCAGTAAAAAGAGGAAAAGGCAAAGGACCATTTCCCTTGAACTGGAGCATCCCCATGCCTTGCCCCATGGATGCCTTCCCCCATCTACCAATGTCATCTTTAAAACTTGACTCTGGCAGGATAACCTCTGGTGAAACATCCCACCAAGAGACAAAGCTGCAGGCTTCTGAGGTGGAGGTCTGCATTAACCACATCATCAGCAGAGGAGGTCCCCCAGGTTTGGGAGGTAGTGAACAAAGGCCTTGGTGCTGGGTGGAAAAGGCAGGTGTTTCTGGAAGGTAAGACTCCATACCTGCACGAGGCCAAAGGGGCACAACAGGCACAGACCTCCAGGGGAGGCTCAGCTTCAAAAAGGTCAGATTCCTGCTCTAATCAAAGCTGACTGATGCATGAATGCAACGTTCGCGGCTGCTGCTTAAATTAAATACCTGGAAATGAGATGCTGACAATCTCTAGAATTCCTAAACAAAACCTGTAAGTCATCTATCTTGCCTACAGTGTTAAACAGACCACTTCAGTTTGTGAAGTGGCCGAGGAAAATACTGCCCTGCATCACCACCAAGGACCAGAGGTCAGCGCTTCGGGGGAGAGAGTTACGCAGCAAGAGCATCGTACCAAATAAAGTAGGAGAGAGCTGTTTCTCTGTGGCACTTTTATAACATCTGTGCATTCTCAATACAGCATCCTGTTAAGTGTTTCAGGACTTATTTACAACTGCTTTTCCCTTATCTTTCTTCAAGTATATATATTTATAAAAAACAACAAACAGGTATCTGCTCCCTTTTGTATGCTTGATCTTTAGAAATTGTGCTCCAAGTAAAAATCTGTTCCCATTCTTTTGGCAATTCGGTCAGCTGGAAGGTCAAGAAGATGCTAGCTTGTACCACCAATCAAATTAAAATCTTACAGTTCAGAAGGTGAAGTTGTGAAAGCATTCAATGTTTTATAGTGGAATTGAAGAGCAGACACTAATTCTCTTCTCATTGATGCCAAAGACTTCTGCTTTCTTCATGAGGAAGAGAACTAGGCCAACTCAAAATAGGCCAATCCAGTATTTTCCTTCAGTGCCACACATAAAAATGAAAGATGATGTCTGAATTGCAAAACAAAATTCAAATAAAGTTGCAAGGCTTCAGGAAGCAATAAGAGAAGGTAACTTGAAGTACCTTAGTCCAGGTATCCTTCAGAATGGCATGGAGGCATGCCCTGTTACTGGCCTCATGAAGCCAATTAGTGGAGGATTAATCAATCAGCTGCAGGAAAAGAGTCTAGAATAGCAGGCTCATCACATGCATGCTCAGTAGCCCTCTGATTTCTCTTTTCAGAATTCAGGCACTCTGGTTTAGGGAAGCAGGATTACCACGCGCTGACAAAAGCAGCTCTAAGCCAGGTAGGAATCAAAAACGTGAGCCCATCTTCTCACAGCAAGGCACACGCCAAGGGTAGAGCTGCAGATGAGCATGAGAGCACTTTGTTCCTGAAGTGAACTGCTGTGGATCTGTGCAGGTGCACGTGGTGGTGGTGGCACCCAGCCTTGTTCCCTGTGCCCCATGCTGGCATCACCGCCTCCAGCACAGCTGGGAGAAGGCAAGGCTGTGCATTCAGAAATGAGGTTCTGGGTTGTTTTAGGAAAAAAAAGTATTTTGTATTTACCACAGCATTTAAGGCCCGATCCTGCTAATTACTCAACTGGAGCTCAGGATTTAGGATTTGCTGTGGGAGCTCTGTGCATCCTGCAGGACGGGGCTTCTCACCGCATGAAGATGTGAGCGCGGCTCTGGGCTCACTGCAAATTGCCACTGTATAAACAGACAGCAGCTCAATGGATTTGTGTGCTGCCCAAAAGTTTGCATGGATTTTCTGCAGTTCTCTGTCTACAAAATGTCTGCCAGGAAAAAAAAAAAAAAAAATCTTGAGCTTGGGAGGATGAAGTATCACACGTGTATTGTTCATGTAGCTATGGTAACCTACAAATGCCACCAGTGTTTCCATTTCATACACAAATGAGGGGACAGCTGTGGAGACCACATGTCTGCCAATGGAATAATATATGTGAACTAGGATGGCTTGGCCAGAAAATTACAACTCATTTATATTAATCAGGGCTTCAAAGAACGGCCATCTCTGCAGAGATGAAGTCCACAGTAAAAGGGAGTGATTTTGTTTCTCAAAGTGTTTGGCTCTTCAGTAAACATCTTCACCATCCTCCTACTTGCCGATTTAAAAGTAGAAGTGTTGTGAGCAGGCGGTGCCCTTCTGTAAATCTCACTTCACTTTTTGCCTTGGTGTGGTCTTTTTTTGCTGTCTGCCCTCCGGCCCAAAGCCCACCTGGGAAAGCAGCAGTTCCCAAGCAGGCAGAAATTAGCCCAGAACTGGAACCTGGCCACCAAAGTGAGACAACAAAAACAACTTCTTTTTGTTGTTGTTGTTTTACTCATTGATAACACTAACAGAAATAAAAGCTTCAGAACAAATACTGTTTTTGTTTTTTTTAAGTTGTAAAATATGAACTCTGACCTTGTATCATCCCCACCACTACAATCAACAATAAGACAGACAACCTAACAAACTCAACAGTACAAATCAACAGCCTTTTCAGCCAACTACTGAGCTGCAGTACAGGCAGGGCTGTGATGCAAGGCAGTCTGAGTGCCCCTCAGATCCCCAAGCAGCAGCTGGGGGCTGCCAGCAGCAGCAGCAGAACAGCACACACTGCTCAGCAAAAGTTTCCCTGGCTGCTGCAGTGCCACGCTGCTGTAGCACCTCGAACAAAGGCTGCTGCATCGGGGCTGCCACTGCAGGCAGCCAGCACTGCTCCACGCTCCGCGCGGTGATGGTGTGAGCCTTCCTGAGTGCTCATGTAAAGGACTGCATTTTCTGTGTGATAAGGACTGATATGCGTCTATGTGTGTTTTTAAAGCAGAGCTTCCTCGCTTTCAGCTGCGTTCCAGCCCTGTTAAACCAACGGGAGCAGAAGTTTCTCGTTGCAGCCTGTTGGGATGCTCTCAGCATGGACTTACTCACATTAATTACTAACAAACAAAAGAGGCGACAATGGTTTTTCACAGCTGACGTTACAATGCCCTTATCCTTTTGTAATCTACACAACCTGATACAAAACCCTACTACTTTCAACAGTCAGCAATATTCTTCAGGTCTGTTCTAGCTAAATGGAAGATACTTTATAGCATCCCACCAGCTGACCTTTTGAAGTCCCAACCGCCCACTGCACTGGGTGTTTCTATAAGGGCTACTTGAAGTTTCACTCCGATAACTGCGCACCTCAACCCAGCCCTTCAGACACCTATGGGGGCCGACGTTCAGCTTCGGACATTCGAAGCATCTGCAAGATCACCCGGTGTGTACGTCAATCCTTCCCAATGAAAAGTTTATTGCCTCGTTCCGAGATGCGGCTTTGTTTACAGCGCAGCTTTGAGTCTGCGAGGGAAGAACCGAGGGGTTCACAGAGCAGTTTCGTTCGAGAGATCCTAACGGGAACCACGGAGCTCCTTCGGGACAAACCCACAGCGGCTCCCGCGCTATTTGGGGCGGATTCCGGAGCGGATTTCCCCCGTTACCCAGCGGGAAGCGCTCCCCGAAGCGGCACCAGCAGCAGCCCGGGGCCACCCGCCGCGCTCTCCCCGCAACACCGCGCCCGACCCGCAGCCCTGCGGCAGCGCGGCACCGCTACGCGCGATTTTCAGCCCCGCGAGCGGCGTGCGCCGGAACGAGCGGGCAGCGGGGGGCCGATAAAAGGGGCGGAACCCCCTCCACACCGGCACCGATCGGCACGGCGAGGAGCGCGAGACGCCGGAGGAACCCGGCCTCGGACCGGAGGCGGCCCCGCGCACACCGCCTTTATCCCGCGCTCCATTGTTCCACAGCGGGCTCCTCATCCGCTCCCATCGCCCCGCGTGAATGCACGAGGCCAGACAGCTGCCGGGACGCGCTGCCATTCGCATGCAAATCAGAGGGGGCGCGGACGCGCGCCGCAAACTTCAGCCCGGGGCGCGCACCCCAGGCAGGAAAATAATAACGGCCGTACGCCACGGCAGGGCCGCTGTGCCCGACTGCGGGCGGCAAACTTTCCCCCCTCACCGGGCATCCCCGCGGCGACCCCCACCGCGCCCCCCGCCTCTCCCAGCGGCACTTACCGGCGCCCGGGGGGGCGCTGTCCGCGCGGCCGCTCCTCTCCCGCACGCAGCGGCGGCGCCGACATCCGCGGCGGAGAGAAGGCGGAGGGACCGAAGGGAGGAGCGCAGAGCCGCGCCGCCACCCGTTCGTTCGCTCGCTCTGTGCCGCCGCCGGCGCGCACCTGGGTAGGCGCTGGCGGTCAGCTGACGGGCTGCACTCTGATTGGCTCCCCCGCCGCGGCGGCACCATCTGCGCGGGGCGGGGCGATAGGAGGCCACGCCCGCTAGCCTCGCTCTTCCCACGTAGCCCCGCCCCTCGGAGCGCTGGGAGCGTGAGAAGCTTTCGGACGTCCTTGCGCGCACCTGTAGGCTCTCTCCTTGTACGCACCTTGCGCCCCTGAGACGCTGCAATCGAGCAGCTCGTCTGTGAGGAGAGGGATCCCATCCACGGCCACCCCCGGGAGGTGCGAGGGTAGAGCCGGGCTCTGCTCAGCGCGGCCCGCAGGCACGGCGCGGTGCCCGGGAGCTGCTCCTGCCCCGGCCCTGGGCGCACGTAGGGGTGCGGGACCACGTGCTGCTCGTTAACTCCTCATTAGGCTTCAGACTCAACAGCTGCTGACAGGAGGGTGCGAGGCGCGGGTTCCTCCTCCCGGTGCTGCTGGCAGTTATTTGTGCGTTCGGGAAGCTGCCGCCACGTTGCGAGGAAAGGGATCCTGCCGTTCCGCAGCGCTGTGCCCTCGGGCGGTGCGTGCTGCCAGCAGGGCTGCCGGCCGGCTCCCACCTGCCGCGTGACTCCGGCTTTCAGGTGCTTTATGAACTTCAGCACAAGCGATGCGAAGGACAAAGGCGCAGAGCCCAAGTGGTGCGTGCTGTAAAGCGCTGCCGATAAAGGCTCCGTTTGGTTTCTGCCCTCTAAAGGGAAGGGAGCTCTCATCTGTGGAGCAGTTGTTTGCAGGGGCTGCAGTTGCACCCGAGTCCGTTTCCAATTGAGGTGATTGGAGATGGAGGAGATCGTCGTGCTGGTGAGTAAAGTGGTGCTGCTCACTGAAACCACGCTGCGTGCCTATGGCTGCGTAAATAAGAGACTGGTGTATAAGCTTGGAGGAAATAGGATTCTGTGTCAACCCAAAGAGCATCACGAGCCTGAAAGTTGAGGGTTTCAGCTGTCCATTTCCATTGGGAGCTGGGTATGGTCAGTTCCCATTCACTCCCAATTTCTGGTTTGTCTCTTTTTTTGGTTATCCCAGTTTGGAACTACTGACTTGTATTTTTCCCTTGGCTGTGGCAGGACAGAGGAGAACAATTCTGAGTTCCTGGGGCTCGATGCCAGAGGCCGGCTGGCACCATAGCAGCGTTGTACATGTCAGCTGTTCTTTGTACCCTTAAATCATTATTTCCCATTTCTTTTTATTGTGCATTTAACCAGCCAGTGTGAAGGCTGTGGGGTAGGGGTGCTGTATTGCCTCCTTCCTCGTGCGCTTTATTAACATAAGATAATGGGAGTTCTGCACACCTCAGCAGCCTTAATGCTTTTATTGACAAAAACCCCAACTAAGCAAGTAGGTGGCCATTAGGTGGGATGATTTTTTTTCTCCCTCCATCCTTATGTGAGGGCTGTGCAGTCCTATAGTGGTGTTTGTGGCATGCTGCCCTCAGTGCCTCTCCTGGCGTGCTGCTGGGATGTGATGCCTTTCCAGGAAATGACCCCAAAATGAGCCATGTGATTTATGGTGAGAAAGGCTTAAAATGAGGTAACAGGAAGTCAAATGTGTAACATTGGTTGATGGCTGGGATTTAGTCTTGAGGCAGTAATTTCTTGTTTTTTTTTTTTTCCCCGAAAGTCCAAAAGGTCATTCGGATAACATTAAAAGTGAAGTTTTTCATATTCAAGGAAATTGAATTTTCAGAAGGAACTCATAAATGCCATCCGAAGAGCTATGCTGCCTTCCACAATGGCTGTGCTCCCATCAGTCCGGATGTTGCTGTTCCATCTCTCATTTATTACTGATGTGGAGGTAATGTCACAGCTGATGCTTCCTCTGTGTTGTGGATGGCTTCAGTTCTTTTCTGTTTCAGGGCAGGGAATTTATTTTCCCTCTCTGCATGCAGTTGCTCCATCCTTTCACACAGCATTAGCTGCATGCCATCCTCACACACCTTTTTACAGAATTCACTTTTGAATCCTTTTGAATGGCCTCGGTGCTGCCCTGTTCCTCGCAGTCTCTTAACATGTGTGAGTGTTTCACATGTGTTGGCAGTGTCACCAACAGTGAGGCTTGTCTGGGCATTCAGAGTGCTCGTGATCTGCTCTGTGTTCACACCGCTAGAGGAGAGCTGCAGGTTTGTAGCAGAGGACAAGTGTTTTCCATATTTGATTTTCCTAAGCGGCTCAGCACTTGTCTGTCATTGCAGGCGATGCTGTCTGTGTTCCAGGCTTCTGCTGTTTGAAATTACACACCCAACAGGCCCCGCTCTCTGCCAAGATCCATGAGGAACTTGTGAAACACTCACAAATAAACTTTTACACCACAGCTTGCATGTTGGAGCTGCCAAGCAAGCAGGAATGGATGCAGCAGCCCTGTCTTGGTGCGGCTCCCTGCTGGGAACAGCATCACCTGCAAAAATGCATAAGTTTGTAGGGATAATGACTGGCAGCTTGTAGGTTTCTTAAAATTCAAGCATATCAACATGATACTGTACTAAAAAAATGTTGGCTTTGTTTTTTTTATAGAAAAGTTTGATTGCTTCTGATTGCATAGAAAAACTTGAAGGGCATAAATGTGATGAACCTCAAATCTATAAGGCAAACAATGAAGATGTGAAATGCAGCAACCACTAAAAGTTTGCGATCTGATGTCTGCATTTCTATGCAGTTTTCACAACGTTAAGGTAACAGGAATGAGAATAGTGCTAAGATGGGAATTGAAAAAAGAATTTGCTCCTGCAGACTGGAAATGCATGCTTCTGTGTGGTGGAGGAGGTGGAAGTGGCTGTTCTCCCAGCCTGGCACTCCGTGCAGTGGTGACAACTCCAGGAGCAGCTGCTGCGGTGCTGCTGGGACTGAGGGGAGGCATTTCTCTCTGATGTCACCTCCCATGAGCTGCTGGAGGCAAAACCCCACAGATGCTTTCCAGCCAGCAGTGCTCAGGCAGCGCTGGGTGCTCCTCCCAATCCAGCTCACACGGCCTTGAGAAGAGCACAGGAGAACATGAGGTTTCCCACCACGTGGACTGCACAGCGTCCTTCTTGACCACCTCCTTGTTCTCATCTTCTCTCCTTCCGTGCCCTCTGGCTCCATACCCTTCTTCCTTCACTCTCTTCACATCAGCTTCACTCTTCAGCACTTCTCCTGGGTCATCTCCATCTGTCATGCATGGCTGTGTGTGTGATGTTTGTTGCCATATATGTTTGCACCACAATTGCTGCTCTTCAAGCCTTCCAAAGGTTCTCGCTGGTGTGCCTTGGACAGTAACAAAACAATGCGGCTCTCTGTGACCTGTCGTGTGTGTCACTGCATTTCTTCTCCAAAGCAGACATTAAGCTGCTTACTGTCCTGAGTGTATGCATAATCCATTACCCTGAACTGTGCTGTGAGACTCTGATACGTCTTTCTGTCAAGAAGTGGCGTCAGGTGGGAAGATTTGGTAGGAGGGCTGTTACCTAAAAGGAATGTGGTGCCGGGCAAGTGGGGATCTGCTGCCCTGTGGTCCAACAGTCATAGCTCCTAACCAGTATGAGATGGAATAAGTCTGTAAAAATAGCAACAGTCAGCTGGAATTTTTTGGAAGAGAAATGATTGTAGCTGAAGGCTCATTCGTGAGGTCAGTTGAGAAAGAGGTATTGCAGTTTGCATCTTGTGCCAACAGGTTTCTACTTTGCTGCCACTTTCTGTTCGTGAGCTGAAACACTGTGAGGTTTTCTTTTCACCTGGTCCTGTAGATGCTGTGTATTTATTTTCAAAATTGCAGGAGCATGCTGGATTTATTCGGGGAAGTTCCAGAGCTGCACATGCAAATTGCCACTGAACAGCAGCGTAAGCCAATGACCAATTACATCAATAACTGGTTATTTGCATAATGCACTCCTTATTATGCATGCAGATATAATAATTGCAGGCACAAATGGTGTAAGTGATTGCAGGTGCAAAAGTGTGTATGCAGTCACGTGTGCATGGGCCACAAAACCATCCCTGTGCAAGCAGCTCTTGCACCAGTCTCCATGGCATTGGTACACCAAACCTGAGAATTAAGGTCTCTGTTTTGGCCCAGCACAGCATTTTACCTGCTGATTGGGATTGCTGTTTGTTGGTTTGTTTGTTTTTTTCTCAGTAGAAATAAACCAGCTCTTCAGTAGCACTGGTTGTTGTGATTCACCCTTCCTTTTATTGCCAGTTGTCTGCATGCAGGCAAAGCACATCTTTATGTGGGGACTTCTGTAATGAGGAGCTGGGATGACACCAGGCAGTGTTTTTAAAGCAGGTCAGTCACTTCACACACGATTCCACCTCACTTCTCTAATGTATTATTAATTGCAAAGCTTTTCCTTTTGGTTGATGTGTTTTCCCAGATGATCTGCTGTGTGAATGTTTCATGAGGAGGGACTCTAAGCTCATTTTATCATTTTGCTAGGAACCCCCCTCAAAGCTTCTTAGAAAGCCAGAGGGCCTGAAAGAAAACCGGAGTGTTTAATTGCAAGCCTATCATTTGTATTTACTCTAGGTGTAAAAGTGGTAACATGCAGGATGTGAAACCCCTTCTGCTGCATTCCCATCACGTGCTAATGGATGAACGGCCACGAAGGCTTTTCCTCGTGGCTTCTGGCAGCAGTGCAGGCCATTGGGAGCTGCTGCTGTGGCCTCCTGGTGTGGGGCTGGTGCACCCAGGCCAGGGCACACGGCTCACTGCCTGCTGTGCCTCTTACACACGGGTGTGAGCTGTGAGCAGCTGTGCACATCTGCCTGGCACTCAGTGCTTGGCTGCCTCTGGTTGCCCCTTGTCTGTTACAGAGACAAATATACCTCTACTGCTTTTTCTTCTTTATTGTCTTTTCCTGTACATGCATGCGGAG